TAAATGAGCGCCGCTGTTTGGGCCGCGCCTGTGAGAGCAACGTGCGGGCGCACGCAGCGCCGCCCACTGCAGGCCTGAGCCGGCCATAAAACACCAACAATATGACACCGAAGCCAAAGACAGGAGTAAATCAAATAAATAGAAAACCCACTGTAAAAGTTCAAATGAGCTCTAGACCTAAATTTAGCCAGAGATTTACTATTTTCCCCTCTGGAGTTGTAGTAAATTTTACAAGTCTGTGGAAGATGACAAACAGCAACGTTGGAAACGGAGTAATTAGAGCTGTGGGTAGAGATGGGTACACGTGGGTGACATATAGACATCCTGAGCTAGCACACATGGCTGTGTCGATATGCCAGGGAGCTAGATGCGCAAACCCAATAGAAATATGCACCTAGGGATCCACAGAAGAGCTGGAACAAGGACCCACTGGGAAAAGGGCTGCCTGACATCCCCAAGGTTGTAGAAGAGAATTGTAAAATGCCTGGATTCAGATTAACAAAGCCTTTCTCCCCAGACTTGGAAAAAGAGAAGCAAACCCATAGCCCACCAACTCTGCCCACCTCGGGGAGCTCCGATGGCTTCCTAACCAACTTGCTGCAGGCCACAAATGCTACTGGTAGACAACCCACTGAGCTCCCTTTCTACCACTCCCCTAGGCCTCCTCCCAAGAAGGGTGGGTGGCTCAGCAGCAAGGGAGTCGGGGAAGAGGGCTGAGAGCCTAGGACACTCACTTGGTGGCCAGCAGCATATTCTTTCGGGAGTGCAGGTCACTCGGGTCCGTGTGCTGCCGGTTCAAATACTCAGAAACAGCTTTGGCGGGAAACTCTGTTTCACAAATGTACCCAAAATCCCGAGCTAAGTGAACAGCTTCTCCTGAAAAGACAGCAGTGGAGGTAATAATCAGCACCCCGTCCCTAAACATCCCAGGGCAGAAGCTGCTCCCTAGTCAACTCTGTTAGTATTTCCAGAGGAGGCCAGCTGTTGGAGCCAAAAGCAAAGGTGAGACAGATGCCCAAAGTAAAAATGATTCTCAAGCTATAATTAAAGTTGATGGGACCAACTTTTTGCCTAGCTCTCTTACTAGCCTCTGCCTAAGCCAAGTCCTAGCTAGACATCCCCTGAATAGCTTCGGGGTCTCCCACACCCCACTTGCTTTGTCTTAAAGGAAAGGTGGGCCAATATATTCAAGAGCCACGTTACAATTGGCCTAGACATTTGGCTAGATATTCAAGCCAGATTCCCCCCTTCTTTTAAAGCTTCTGTTACACCTGCTTCAAATACAATTTAAAAATCATCACCATCTTCCTGTAATTGTTCCAGGGAAAAATCTTATTAATAACTAATATATATATAAACAAATCCATGTGTGAGTATGTCCACACATATTAGAGAATATACATAAAATATATATGCAAAGAGTATTTTTATCCAGCAATGAAATCATTATCCTCCTTGTCATTTTTCCTCGTAGTCAGGTTTCAGGTTTCTCCCTTTCAGAGGTTCCTGTCATCATCCTCCTACTTAAGGACTTTTCACTGCACAAAGATAACAAGGCAGCTATAGAAAACTAGGGTATCTAAGATATTCCTTAGCTTACGTGGAAGCCCCTTTCAAATAAAGCATTATTACCCTTTAAAGCACAGCCTTAGCAGTTCAAGGGAAGATTCCAAACATGAAAAAGATAATATGCTGAATTATCCCATAGCTACATTATTTTTAAGGAGCATGACTTACTTTTAATCATCATTATCATAATAACAACAAAAGACTTCAGGCAGAGTGCTTACAAGGATTCAAAAAACCAAAAAGTGCCAAACAAATATTAGAATTTCACTGAGTTTTCCAATTTCCTCCCTTCTCTACCAAAATCCTTATCTTGGCCTGAGATTACCTTGACTGCTTTTCAAAACGAGGATTGTGATATTAGCAATTCCCTGAAGGGCAAAATGTGAAACCCCCAGGCTGAGAGTCAACCCCTAATAAGTGTGGTCTGGAAATTCAGTATCTGTTTCCTCTAGAGGGTGTTTGGACCAGGCAACTCTGCTTTAAAAATGGAAAAGTACAAGGCCTATAACTGTGATGACTTATGGTTGTTGTTCAAATAGTCTAAGATTCCCTCCTCTAAAAACCCAGTATCACATCCACAAAAATGGAAGAAAAAAACAATACCTATAAGCTAGACTCTAGAGAAAATTCTACATCTCCCTCCATTAAGATCATCTGGCTATATTTCCTATCTCTTCCCACAAATTCAACTGCAGATGCTCTTGTTCTAGACTGTGTAGATGATCTTGTTTATTATGTACCATAAATATCATCCTCAAAGCCAAACTGATGAGCACATTGGAAGGTGCTTATTACAATTATGGCCCTTTAATTCACAATTGGTGAATCTATGAAGATTATACCTGACTCTCCTACATGTTTTCTCATCCCTTCTCCCCAATTTTCTCCTAGGCATCATTGGCCTCATTAAGCTATCAATATTTCAATAGCAATAAGTCCCAGGTAATCCACAAGAGATTGGGCCCTGGGAGTGACAAGAGTTTTAAAATAACCATCAGAGGTCATGGATGTAATGTGTTCTCTATTACTGACAATTCAGAGCCAAAATCTGGCCAGGAGAAGGGTAAGAATTATTGCTTACAGAGTTACTCTTTCAAGAGTTCATACAAAGGGTGTCTTCTACCTGGCAGAACAGACAACCTCTGCTTTGGCTAGGGGGCTGGACCTAAACCCTCTTCGGAGCACAGGGACTCTCAAACACTTCTCTTAGCCTCTCTACAACTGCTGGCTCCCTCTAAGTAAAAAGACCTTTGAACCTCTCTCAGGCAGCCGCTTGACATCCAACTCATAAGGGCACAACAATCACAATGATTTCCAGTTAATCATGAAACATGTAAAATGTCAGACTCCAGCCGACAGTTAAGCTCAGCCACTTCGTGAAATGGCCACACATCTTGCTTACCTTCCACCAGGGAGGTGAGTAACGTGACATTTGCTGCTTTGCGCCTGCCCGCGGGTAAATTCAAACCGATTTTTTCTAGCCTTTCTCGCAAAGATCTCCCCCCATTTTTCGATTTGGCTCTGAAATTGCAAGAATTAACATTCTGATTAACCTCAGAGTGTTCCTGAAACAAAGTTTAGACTTAGCAATCTAAAGCCCAGTGGAGCTTGAAGAGGTTTTAACTTGAGGTTAGCACATTTTTTTCTCCTTCCTTTTGGTTATTTGCTGATAGTATGCTGAGGTTTGCTTAATTTCTGCAATACAGAGAATTTTTTAAAAATTGGGTAGTTTTATTTTTTTTTTATCTCCTGAGAAGGAAAAAAAAATGATACCAGATGTGAATACTTAGGATGTAGGTTGTGGGTCCAGAGAAGGTAGAAGATGCATATGTGCTTACACACACGTTCCTTCCTTGTCGTGGAGCCAGTGAGGTGTGCAGAAACTGGGCAAGCACAACCTTGTTGAAAAGAAGAAAAGAGCCAGGTGGCTTGGAGAAGAGAAGGCACTTGTGGAAACAGGTGGGCTTTTCGAGGAAGGGGTCAAAAATTGCTGTGTAATGGGATTGTGTTAAAAAGGGAGGAGGGAAGACTGAAATATGAAACTAATAACAAGGATAATAATAACAGTAAAACTCACACTTTAGGGAATTTAGTTATGTGATAAGCACTTTATATTGATTATCCCACTTCATCTCATAGCATGTTTTACACACACATGCTCAGTGCTCAAGGGGTAACTGAAGACTTCCACACTCTGAGGCTCAAAGGACTCACTTGAATACTGAATCAAAGTACTGCGGAACAAGAGGATTCAAAATGAGAAAGTTCCTTGGCCACACCCTTAATTTCTCCTAAGGCTCTTCCTGTATGTGCTAAGGTCTGGGCAAAAAGACAAGAAAAACTCCAGCTACTGTAACTTCTCTGGCTGTACTACTTATATAGCCACTTTTAGAAAAGAAGAGGAATGTCACCCTCCAAAATGGGTAAACCTGGAAAGTTTTATCTCATACAAAGTCACTTTTGTATCAGGACACTGCCAAAGGTGTTTTGGGGGAATTTTTACATTTTAAGAAAAAGGCCACCTCCTCCCCCATTTCCATGAGGAGGAGTCAGCCTATGGGTAGGATTACTGGGAAGCACCTTGATTGGTCCCAAGAAATAACTGTTAATACATTTTAATTGGTATTATTGCTAGTGGTGTTATTTAAGGAAGGAGGTCACAAATCTAGAAAAGAGTTTTTCAAACTGTGGGGCACAATGCACTAGGGGGTGAAAAACCAGCTTAGCCGATCGCCAACTGCATTTTAAAACATACAGTAAAATAGAGAAATATCAGAGGAAATGGAAGGTATGAAGGGAGTTGCTTCATGAAACTTGTGTTTTAGATAAGTGTGTGTGTGTGTGTGTGTGTGTGTGTGTGTGTGTGTGTAGGTTCTGGGTCGTACTCTTGGACTAGAAAATGCCCCCGAGGTGTTTTGGGACTAGGAAGGAAAAAGGTGCCACAAGCAAGGCCAAGAAAGCGGACGGTTCCCACGACCGCAACATTGGCGGGACAGCGCGGCTGCGCGTGCGCGGTGCGGGCCCCCTAGGCACCGGTCCAAGGGCGGCGGCGTTTGCGCGCGCGGGCCCGAGCACGTGGCAGCCGCGGGTCTCCGCACGCGCAGCGCGGGAGCCACGCTCAGTGCCGTCCGGTTGCTAGGCAACCGCATCAGACTACCAGCCGCGTTCCGACTCCCCCCTCTGCCCCAATAAAAACTGGTTTGAGGGAGGGTTTACCTTCTAAGGACGCCGCCGAGGAGAGACGCATTGAGGCATTCAGGGGGCGACAGCCGTCTCTGAACTTCTCCCACAGTCACTTTGTACTTTGAAGTTGAACTGAGCAGAGACAAACGGCCGGGGACCGAGCAAAACACCTCGCCGGTGTTGACGGACATGCCTCCTAGGAAGCCATCTTTATTCATCATGAGAGAAGTCACAGATTTGGGGGGAACCGGAACTAGAAAGAGAGAGAAAAACTTGCCATAAAGGTGACTGGGTTTCGATCCTGGTGACCGGCCGGGAGAATGTGCCACTGCGTGAGGCCACAGGACGAACGCCAAGTGGAAAGCTGGGGGAGGAACTGTTTGTTCCAGTGGGGCTGCTGTGCGTCCACAGCGCTGGGAACAGATGGAAAAACCATCGCTACTCTGGAAACTTACTCCACGTATGTATACATACGAGTGTCGCTTGCCAGAGCCCCCGCTCGCTACACAAATCAAGAAGACATATACGACCCAGAGCTTGGATCGTGCTGTGAACCCAGACAAATCCTAATTCCATCAAGTGCTAGCTCTGTGACCTCAGACACCTCACTAAACCTCTCTGTTTCCTCAGGTAAAACAGTAATGCCCATTAGAAGCTCTCGCTCCTCTCCCATTGGACCCAACTGTATGGCCATCGCCAGAGAAGATACGAAGATCAACCCCTATCAGATGCTGTGCTTAAGAACAGACACGTAATATCATCGAGATGGGGAGTTGGGCCGGAAAGAGCTGTTCCAAGAAAGAGCTGCTGCTCATGTCTTTTAAATGGGGCCCCCTTCTTTCCTACATAGTAACAACAGATTCATTTAGAAACGAACCCAAATGCACATCTCCAGTGAAAGCAATTCTGCAGTGACATGAATTTTGTTTACAAATTAAAGCACCGGCTGGTGATTGTTTGGAGCAGTTATGATTTACAACAGGTGCCCTGATCAATCAACCAATCACTCTAATTCATATGAGCAGCGGTCTTGCCTTGCCCCAGTTGTTTCATTTCGCCAAGTAATTGATAACAAACCGCACTCAAGGTATGTTTTATGCAGAAGTTAATAAGAGCTGACAGCTGGTTGCCACTGCTACCCTGACGCATTCAGCCTCTCAAGCCTGTATTTCTGTTTAATTGTGTTTCAGTGTCATCTGCACATCAGAAAGAGGCAGGGCTCAGTGGAACCAGAAGGCGGGGAATGAGGAGCATTCAACCTCCCACATCCCTCACAATCTTGCCCCCTGGATTTCTACACTGCTCAAGCCCATTTTCTTGCCGCAGGCTCTAGAAGTGACACCTGGATAGGTGACTTCACCTCCTGACTTGCCCTATGCATTTGCTTCTTCCATTGGGATTCGAAGCCCCCAAATATTCCCAGTATTTTTGATCACCAGTCCAGGGAATTTATTGAAATATACATCTGATGTGAAAAAAGAGGTTTCCACACCTATCTGTTTGCTAGACTCTATCTCACCCTGTAATTTTAATAGGAGAAATATATACTCTTTCTACTATATAGGACCTAGAACCCTATGTGTCAAACAAAATGCATAACTTCCCTTGTATGGGGCAGACTAACCAACACTCAGTATTTCTGTAACAGTTTATTCTCTCTGCCACAGATTCCAGCAAGCAAACCTCTATGATTGTTTACAGACTCCTAAAAGCCAGGTAGGTCCCAAATCTTTTATTTACTATGAATTGCATTTGGCCTCTTATAAACATCTTGTGGAAAAGAGCTTTCCTGGGGAACTGGATAGGGGAACTAAAGCACTTCCTTTTGCTATTTCTTGGTAGGCCTTTTAGGAACTCTAGATCTGTCCACAGAGCCTAAGACAGGTGGATGAATGATGTTAGGCAACAGGGTGGATCTTCTGCACTGTCATGGGGTTGAGTCATTAGAGAGAGGAATTTCTTCTTTCTGGTTCCCCTCATATTCTCATCAGGGAATCTGCTTCCCATTTGAAAGTAAACCAATGAAAAGTTGAAGTGTGACTATTAATCAGATTTGAAGTGAGATCTCCAGATTGGGGTGGGAACACTCTCCCATTTAATTTCTTATGCAATATCCATGTCTATTTTAACCTATCTTATTCTTCACAACAGTCCTGCTTTACATATTTCAGACTCACATTGAAGGCACTATAAATGAATAATTTATGATCATGGGAACTGGCATTAGAAACACTTGGAAAAACTTCTTCCCAAAATATAGATGGCTCTTTGTAGTTTTAACATGATGTGAACTATAGAAATAAATTATATACAAATCTCGCCCATGATACTCAGCAACATTTTGATCTTTAAATACTATTTAGAAAGAATATGTTAACCACCGCCACCACAAACCCTAATAAGCTGAGAGTAGTAAGTTCAGTTCCTGCTTACTGCAATGGATAACTGAATAGCTCCTGATGATTGGAATTTTACCTGCTTCTCCCAGTCCCAGATGCCAAATCTCTTGAAAAGCTAGGCCTTTAGAGATATTTTATAACCTGCCCTCTAATTTCACTATTGTTAATTGCCTGATTTGCCAGACAGGAGCTGTTTCCTTTGGGGAATGTATCCTTCCCATGAGTTGTACCTTTCTGCATATACATTATCATCTAAACAACCCCATTCTAGTCAGCTTTCCTCAGCACACTGCTGTGGGGGGAGGTTGTTTTTTTATTTGTTTTGTTTTGTTTTTTCCAAAAACACAGACAATGTGAGCAGATGTGCTTCAGTTTATACTTCCATTTTCTAATTTATGTATCACAATTATGTTCCCACCCTCTACTCTCCTGTTCTCAGGTTCTAAATCTCTTTCCTACCCCAGCTTAGTATTGGTCCCCTAGACTAGATCCTGCACATTTCTTGTCCCAACTTTCCTTTAGGTCCGTAGCTCTGTTATCATTTACCTTCCCTTTCACTCTCACACCTGCTTGGCTCAGCTGATTAACCCCATATTTTATTCCCTTTGTCTTTTCTCTTCTGCTTTCCTCCTGCTTATCAATAAACTCAGAGAGCAACAGGGCCCGGTTGATTTGTTAGTAATTATGAGCACACTGTTCCTGCTCATGGAACCCAGAGATGACTGAGATAGGTTTAAAACAACAGCAGGAAATGGTAAGGAAATGGGGCATAGCAAAACTCAGCATGAAGCTTTCAGTTCTTTACATGTTTACAATTTTCTGTGCATACATTAAAAGTGGTTTTTTTTTCCTCTTTGGTTTTCAGTTGGGTGGCATGACCAGCTTCTGTATGAAATACCCACAAACCTCATTCCCTTCCCTTTCCCCCTGCATTATGTTTGGGAGAAGGGAAAAAAAGGTTTAAAAACAGATCAATATTTCATTTCAGTGACTGGAGTTTTATTTAAGAGAGAAGAAGGAAAAATGATTCGAAAAATATTCATTAGTGGACTATACTGAGCTGAAGAGTTAACAGGCTAGTGTTTAATCTCTACTTTTAAACTTAAGTGTGAAATCTTAGTTTTGAGATCTTTGTGTTTGACTGGATCTGCTGCTGGTAGGGAGACCGGAAGAAATTAATTTATCTTATAGATTCAAGGGACAACTCCCTCTGAAAGTCACTCTTGATATGTAACTTACACTGAGAAATACCAAGAGGCTTAGCATTGATTTAGAGTGGTCCCTAAAAGAGAAATAGTTACGGTTCACCAGCAGAGTACCCTTTCCTTACATCTGCATAATTTCTCATCTACCTGAGGGTTAAATTTTATTCCAAAAGTATAGCTCGTGTATAAATGTGAGCACTGAAATCCTGGGGGAAAATATTAAAGAATTCCCACAAAGAAAACTAGGATATAAAAAACTATAAACATCCAGTCTTAGCATTCTTTAGGGACAGAGTCTAAGAGGCTGGAAACTGAGTTGGGTCTTACCACTTACTTGGTGTGTAAGACCCTGAGAAAGTCACTTATCTTCTGTCTGTCTCAGTTTCTAGGCTTAGAGCATTGAAGAAGACTGTTTAACCTTTCTACCTTTGAAACTCTATGAACTCTGATCACTCCTGGGGTGGCTGGAATGTATCTCAGGGTCTCTAATTGATAGATAGCTATTGGTATCCAAATCAGCTCTGGAAATGCAAACCTTTTCCTTTGAGAGGAAACTCATACCTTTCAGAGGCTCTGACAGACTCTCAGGGCTTTTTTTACCTTGTAGGTCAGAAGGAAGGATCCTGATAGAATCCATTGTAATTGAAATTTGGCAATTTCTTTATTTCCCTTGAAAGAAAATCTACACCAATCAAAGTGTTTACGTGGGGAAGGGGCCAGAACTAACGGGAAAGAAAGGGAGAGAGAACGGAGGTTGAACTGAAACTAACCAAATAGGATATCCCTAAGACCAATGAAAATGCCCCATAGTCATAACATTTGAACCTTGGACTCCAGCCACGCTAGCCTTTCCAAGAAATCTTAGCATATTTTCTTGTCTAAGGTGTTAAACAGATTGCACATTATCCTCTGCACCAAAAACTTAGCCTAGGTGAACCTTTTTTTAGTTAGACAATATGATGGTGGCAGTGATCATTTATATTAGCTGGGCACACCCTCTCCTCCACCTCCACACCCCGCCCAAATTCCTAATCTTAATGGAACTGAGAGTTAAGAATGATTTTTTAATGTCTCGTTGGATTTTTAGACTGTTAATGTACCGAATCCTTCTCATTATTACTTTATTGATTGCTCATTGACCAGCCCCCTTCAAATCGTATTAACCACCCTCTGCCGGTTTAGATTAGGAGAGTTTAAAAAGCACCTTTCATTACTCCTCCCCCCCAACCCCTGCCATGGAGTTGAGACTAGGCAGCTTAATGGGAGCTCTAATGGGGCAGCTAAGAGGAGAGGGGCCACGGTCCCTGCCGATTGCATTAATAGCTCAAAGGGGGCCAATACAGAAAATTAGCCGTAAACGAGCTCTGGAGATCTTCAAATGAAAGAGCCATTTATCACGCTGGCTACCTTCACTCCACTCGTTTGCTCTCTCTACTGGGAACAACTCATTTCCTCTTAACTAAATTACTTCAGAAATGTCAGCTAAGCCCAGATAGCAAACATAACAAGGGAGGGAGCTCATAATCTATGGGGTGATATCAACACGGGTGAAAAATTAGACTGGTTAAGTTTTAGGAGGGGGGCCTTGCCATAATTGGAGAGAGAGACATAGAGATACAGACATATATTATTTATGTCCAGGTCTTCTGGCTTCATAAACACAGGAGCAGAGACCCTCAAACCCAGACCAGTTGTCAGAATTTTATTAACAAGTAATCAACCACTTATTTCTATTTTGCCTATGGCTCTCTAAAGATAAAAATATGATATTATGATCTTTTCTTTTTGTAATAAAGCAAATATCTCAAATATTAAATAATGGAATTGTCCTAAATTTCATATTCATAACACACCCCCTGAATCAATTAAAGTGAGTAGGGTGCTACTTGGATGTTTTAAGCTGTACAATTTTTAAAAACCTTTTGAGGACCTAAAAGGTACCCTAATGTTTCCAAAACCAGAATTAGCTACTTTAGTCACTATTCTCCTTTTCTTATTCCTGGAGATAAACGTATATATAAATATTCACATTTCACTGACAAACATATACAAGATCTGAAACCAAAGCATCCCACATCTAAGAATATTTTCAGCTCCATTTTGCTAGGCAAGCTAAGTTCCAAATATTTTTATTGGCTTGACTATTAATAACATTTCTGATTGGTCATCTGTTGGGCATGTCCCACTGCCAGCCCAAATGATGTTGCTAGGATACGGAACCCTTAGCTAAGTGGTTCTAGCTTTCCATGAAAAGGGAGTGGGAACTAAAACAAAAAATGCCAATGGAGAAGCTCCTCCCCCACCCCACTCCAATCAACCAGCAATTAACCAAAAGAGAAGACCCAAGAGAAAATGGTGAAAGTGAGCTGTCAGTCAGCAAGTGGCAAGTCCAAGCAAGGAGCCTGGGTATCCTAGCAAATCTAAAAGCTGGCATTCAAAACCGAAGCGATATTATCTAAAGAAGAGAGGGAGAGATGTTTGGAGCAATACTTAAAATAAATAGTTTTGCCCCAAACCTTACTATTCTTCAGGATATTCATTTCAAAGCCAGAGGGCACCATTTCAAGTACTGCTTCCCCCACCCACTTCTCAAAGATACTCTTCCTGCCTTTGTAAAAGAAGAAAATTTAGAATACCTCACCCAGTTTGGAATGCTTATTCCACAACCCTCCTACTATCCCAGTTTGACTATGGATGGATTCTTCCTAAAGCATCTTTTCTTTTAATTGTTTCTGTGAATGTCAAGTGGCTCAAGCAAATCATAAATGACTGAAGTTGGGGATTGTTGACACCAAACATAAGGACAGGCTTTCTCCAGCATCAATAAGAAAGGGATACAGTAGTGAAAATTGTATCTTCAAATCCCAGGTCCTGTGATAATTAAAGATTGCACTGTTTACACATTTAAGCTCCTAAATTTGTGGCATGTGAGTGACATTCAGGCCTTTCAGCAGCCACACTAATCTCCAGGCATTCTCTCAGTGACTGTCAGAGAAGAGGAGAAAAAATTAAGCAGCTGCAATACGCCCGAAATGAGTTATTGTAATTACATTTAATTAGTTTAATTAGTTAATTATTTTGCTTACAGCTGTACAAGAGACTGCAAACATTTGTTAATATCACATGCCCTTTAACAGTATGGGGTGATTCCACAGTCACACTAAATCATGAATGCATATGTAGGAAGATTTAGAAATGTGCATAGGCTGTCTCAGCTTCTCAGGATGCGCATATTTAGCAACACATTTGGCACAATTAAAAAAAATAATAAAAGAAACAACTCATAAAACACGGAGAACTGGGAACAAAATTACCACCAAAAAATCAAATACAAAAACAAGGAAAGAAGGAGCTGTCTCAATGACATAGGGTTTAGCTCAGCAAACTCCAGTTATCAATGAAATAATTATAGCACATTTTTGAAGCCAGTGTTTCCCAGCCGGTTCCACACATGATGATAGCTCAATTATTTAAGATGTGCCTAGAATGGCTACCAAATCATGGGAAAAATGGCAATAGTCTCTGTTCCTCTCTCTCTCATCGAGTTTCTGTCTGCGATTTTCTCTCCCCCTTGCCCCATTTCCTTCTTCCGGACATGCCCTTTCACCTAGGCTGACGGCCATTGTCCTATGATTGTGAGCAAACATTTGTGTCTTATAAAATAATGAATTCCCCCACAGTGAAAACTCATCATAAAGACATTAGCCCACAGGAAAACTTTGCTTACTTTGGGGGTATAAGCCGTACCTTTTTTAATGACAGACTGGTCCAATAGATTCATGCCGCTGTTATTGGCATCTTCAACTGACTGTGAATATAAAAACATCACTATTCAAATTGACTGGATATTAAAGAATTGCACACATAAATCATGTCATTCCAAACTGGAGTTTCTGTTATTTCCATTTATATTAATTCACAAAGGGAGGTTTTATTATTATCATTATTATCTCCAAATCGACATAGAAATGAAATTCACCCAAATTATAAATTCTTCCAATGGATGAAAAGGAAAAAGGAAACTGTGAGAGACATCTGGGATGCAATATTGGTTTAGTTATTATACAAAACACAGATATTACATAGACAGATAAACCTTTATATTATTTTCTCTTATGAATTGTGAAAATTTGGCAACAGGAAAAAGATTTTCACCAATATTAGTAAGAGCAATTTTTGCTTTCCCTTCTATCCTAGTGCATCTTAACCCTAGAGCCATTTTACAAATACATAATAGTTTACATTATGGGATTTTAATTAAAGTCTGAGCAATTTGGAATGGAATGCAAACAGCAACACATAGAAACATGTTTGCAAGCCTCCAGGACCGCACACCCTCTGCAGTCCATACACGTCCCTAGGAGCTCTGAGCTTCTTACTGCACAATGGCAAGCCCTCCCGAGAAGCCTGCACCATTCACCCCTTCTTCTAACCCTGCTGAGGCTGCCTCCCAGCAAGAAACACACCTGTTAGGAAGGCAGTAACTATAAGCACACAGACACACACAAAGGCCTGGATCCTCCCAGTCAGCACCTAGGTAATCCACAAGTAATGTTCATCTTCTGTGCCAAAGTTTCATCCCAGAGAAGGAAAGTTTCAACCCTGAGGATTGGCAGCACTTCTGAGGGGAAATAGCTGTTGGAGCAAGCTTCTTTACTGTTAGGATGCACGTGAACAGAGTTTTGGCTGTGCATTCCAGGGCATCCAAAAGCAGTGAGTTCCTTCCCTCCTACCCCCCATGAGAAGAACTGCTAGGTCTTTCTGAAATGTACGGCTAATTTTCCTTGACCCTCAGAAACACAAGTTTGGACCAATTTGTCACCCACTCTATAGAGAAGTAAAAAGCAAAGGGCTTGAGAGTGAAGTGGTGTTTTCATAGCAACTCCCACCCACTCATGCTGCATCCCCAGACAGGGTGTGAGTTCATCACAAGAAAAAGACTGTCTACCCCAAACAAGTAGCACTTTAGAAATGAGATGATCTAATCATAGAAGGGGGCATGTTAATTTGTTTCTTTTCATTTTTAATAGTCACTCTTCTGTTCTCATTTGAAAGGTGAGGAAAATTGTTATTCTCTTTAGGAACTGTTTTCCTTGTTGCAACATGTCATACACATCTTAAGAAATAGTAAAAAGCTGTTTTAAAATACTTCATGTAACTTGTCTATAACTCCTCAGGGGACCCTGGACACACACACACACACACACACACACTCGTGCATAAATATGATTCACACCTTTCTATACTCATGTATCTACAGTGGCAGTGTGTCCACGCAGGACAAATATTCGCCTGTGTCTATGGGCAGGCAGACCCTCATCTGGGCCTGGACCCACGAGCCCCCACACCTCACCCTCATGTTGGTACGTAAATATGTATAAACGCCTCATCAGCGACGTGGGGTAGTTGTGGTAGTTAATGAGAAGGCTCTTGTCTGATTTTCTATCTAATTACGGCCGCCTGCTGGGTTTTTGTACAGGATATTCACGCAGCATGCTGGCGCTTAATCGTCACAGGGAGTATCGTAAAGATTTAATTAGGACTGCATGCGGAAGCGCAGAAAAACAACTCAGACTCGTAATTACTAGACTTCTTTAGTTAAAAGTGATACCAGGGGTTGCTTTAAGACACTCGGGTGTGTTTGAGTGTGGGTGTGCGTTTGTGGGGGGGTTGACTTAACATCCTATATGTTTATACTCATGGGTGGTAGAGGTGATGGGAGGTTAGAGAGCAACGAAGGCAAGAAGAAAAGAGGTGGACATGGCAACTAAACAAATCCCAAACTAGGTGTCATCTCACTCTGTCTTTCTCTTTCTGTAGCTGTTTTTCTGAGTTTTTAACACTTGTAGCCCCCCGCTCCCCCCACAATGGGTGAAATGTAGCATACCCAGAACCCAAACAGCGATTTGCTAGTTTAATAGCCCCTGTGAGTAAATTGAAATAGAAATTGACAGGGTTTTATAGTTTCATTTAAAAAAATATTAGAAGCATTTGGTTAATTAGCTCTCCTCCTCCTCTCCTCTCACCGTCCGGGCGGTGGCCCTGCGTGTGTGCGTCTGGGTCGCACAACATCTCCCTAACCCTCGACCCGCAGGCCAGGCAGTGCCCTCAGCGTCCGTCTGGTCCATGGCTTGGGGGACATTTGGAACACACTCCAGGCCCTTGAGATTCAGCTAGAGACTTTGAAAAGGTCCAGGCTTAGGCACTCTCTGGTCCCTTTTAAAGACTAGACCGGGTGCAGTCAACCCATTCCGTAGCTGCAGGGAATGTTGAAACCCCAGCTGTCTTCTGTAACTTTAGCCCCCCAGCTTCAGATCCCCAACTCGGAAGTGCATTCTTCCTAACAGAGCAGATGAGTGGCAGTCTCTCGGTTCCAGGCTCTCGTCCTGGGAACATCTCCTCCCCTGTCTTCGTCACCTGCCCTGAGTAACGTCAACTTCACCCTGGCCTCGGGAGGTCTGCCCATTGCCTTGGAGACAGAGGCCATCCCTGCCCCTGTTGTTTCCCTCCAGGACAGGTGCGGAGTGTATCCCTTAAGACCCCTTGCACTGAGGGTCGTACAGAGAAGGTCCCCTGGGCCTCCCACCTCCTCAGGGCGAGGAGCTGGGATGAAGCTGGGGCAGGAACAGAGTAAGGAGTGGGGTGGAGCAGGGAGTGTGCGAGGGCCCCAGCCTATTCCTTTCTCTTTTGGCTCTCTACCTCTGCAGTTTGTATTACCAACAGCAACACCTCAGCCAAAGTAGTCTGTTCACACAAATGCTCTAAATCCTTTCCGACGCTTTGACAAGAGTATTCTAGATGCACACTGACCTGGCCGTTTTTTTCTCACCCTTTGCATTTCACCAAACAATCAAAAAAAAAAAAAACCCGCACAATTTGGTCATTTAAAACATCTAAAACCAAAGAAATCTCTCTCTTTTTGGGGGGAAAATTGCTGAGCTTTATCACCTGAGCCACTGGGCCTGCAGGATGGTGGTGACAAGGAGTTAGCATCATCAGCAATGGTGATGATTTGATCCACTTTCATTATCCAGCACTTTGAACCGTACTCAGAAAGGTTAATTTAAAAACTTTTCCCCCCGAGACACATATTACCCCAATGCATTAAAAAAAACTATTAAATATTTCCTTTCTCATATGATATTCTGAAATGAGCAATATCTCCAGACATGGACAGTTGAACTCGGTTAAATCAACAAAACCATCACTCTTATTACTATGGGTAAATTCAGCCACAAAGCAGGTGATTCCATCTTTTTTGGAAATAACAAATAACTGAATTTCCTTTAAAACGATAAACCATCATAGACCTCACACAGGCAGCATTTGATACTGTCACGACATTTTAACTGTTTAAAAATATAATTTTTCAACAAAGTAATGAAGAATGACTCATGTACCATTGTCTCTTTCCCATTTTATTTTCCTTTGCTTCAGAGGTATTTCTAAAAGGATACATAATATATACTACTATGCCAATGAGACCAAAGTGTCAATTAAATACCTTTCAACCATATTTCTCTTTTCTGGAGACTATTTAAATTAAGGTTAAAAGGGAGACCTGCTCAGGATCACCCAGACAGTTTTTAGGAATCATTTCTTTGATGTTTCTTTGTTTAGTTTAACCAAGTATTCTCAACCAAATCAGGCTCCATTGTGTAGGCTGCAGATGGGATAGTGGGTGGATAGGGGGAGTGTTTTGAGCCTTTTGTTTTAAGAAATAAACACGTGACGCCTCTTCTACGGGGATGGTGGCATTGAGGACAGAAGTGTTCATGGAGAGGGCGAGGGCTGGACAGGGAGGTTGCGAATATTGGTCCAGTCATTTTAATGGACAGAAAACTGAAAAGAATCTCCAAAATGGTATCTGTCCTCATGGACTACCAAACTTAAAATTATGGCTTTTTGGGTCTCTCCCCAACAGATACTCTATTTTTCAGATGAGGACTGGAACTCTTATTTTGGCAAATGGCTCTGTAACTCATGGGACATTCAAAGCAAGACCTGGCTTAGACGAACACAGAGCACGTCCTTCTTCCAATGTACATTGTTATGCTCAGCAAAATCTTTACAAATCCAGCAGAAACCTCTAGACTAGAGCATACAGAGAACCCTGCTCCTTGGTGCTGGAGCCGTAGCTTCTAGGCACAGGTCTTTCCCAGAATAGCCAGTGGGACAGGCCCACTATGGGGTGTGCATGTTGGTGAAGTGAGGGTACTAAGCTTGCTCCCACAAAGCACTATAGAATATGCAGGAGTTGGTAGCTGAGGCAAGACAGAAATAATAGCCTTGATTCGAATAATCTTAAACTATCAAAACACGTATTTTTTTCTCCTTCAAGATTTAATTTCTAGTGCCTCTGACTTTCATAATTAGACCTCTAGAAACCTCCACTTAGAGCCATACATACATACACAAACAGTTATATATGTCCTGTCCAACTAGTTCTCTTCTAAAAATGGGAACAACCTCCCCAAAAAAGGAGACACCTGCCCTTCCCCCTCCCGGGGCATTCGTTATTCATTGTCTTTTTTGTTTGTTATTTTGTTTGTGGTTACCTGGACGTCTTCCATGCCGGGATGGCCGAGGCCGTGCAGCGAGAGGCTGTCACCCATGCCCGCGTCCAGGCCGTGGTGTGCCGAATGCAGCAGCACGTCCGGCCGGCGGACCGAGTGGTAGTCCCTCCGGGGGTCGAGGCCCGAGAGCTGAGGCAAGGCGGCCCGAGGCTGGGGCAGG